GAGGGATGCTGGCAGGTGAACCAGTGTATGTGACAATCACACAGCTAGACAGGAACAGCCCTGGGAGAACTCAGCCCTTAACTTAGTGCAGGGTTTTTCCCACAGAAGACATATGGGAGCATCTTTTGCTAAACTGAGTCGGACAATTAGCCATTCAGACTTCCTCTGTGGCATAGAAGAGGGCAGCATCATGCTGCAGTACCGGGAATCTGACCCAGGGGCTGAGCAGCACAGGACGGTTCTGGCCCTATGACACTGTGGGCCACAGGAAGCCCTCAGGCCCTCATGTCAGCACTGGAAGCCACCGGGGCTCTTCTATCCTCACCTGATAGCTTTGCCTGGTGAACATGTCCACAAGGAACCGCTGCCTTCAAAACTCCACGCCAATTGCACAGTCGGTTAGCCATGTGATTTAGAGATTGGCCTCTTTGTATCCACATGTGGAACCTTTCATTTTAAGTGAGATTTACCAATTTCCTTGTATAGAGTTTGATAATAGCACAGTCTCAAATGCCCACAGGGACTCAGTTCTATTGTTCAGTTTTGTGAGTATATTCGCCTAGTCAACCCAGCGACTACAAACAAAGGGAAACTCTTTAAACCAACTCACAGTCAAACTATCATCAAGTTTGGTAAGAATGGCGTACCTAAATTGTGCAATACAAACGTGTTGTTTTAATTTTCAGTGTTTTTGCTGGATTTCTAAAGCGTTTGTATATATGCTCCCCCATAACCAAGGAATTCAAAATTATGTAAAATTATACCTATCACTTGTGCTTCACAAATTTCCAACTGTTTCTATACAGATTGTATATGCGCACTTGCATACACATAAGTGTAGACCAGGTCTCATAGAGTATATGTCTTAAGGTTTCTATTGCTGTGGGGACACACCATGGCCACAAGCAACTTGAGGAAGAAACGGTGTTTGGTTTTCAGTCAAGAGAAAAGGTTACAGTCCTCGACTGAAGAAAGTCAGGGCAGGAGCCGATAAAGAAGCCATGGAGGCGTGCTGCCTACTGGCTTACTCAACCTGCATTCTTAAAGACCCACCCACATCAGTCCCTAATCAAGAAAAGCCTGCAGAGGCTTGCCTACAGCTCCATCTTATGGAGACTCGGTTTCTCAATTGAGGCTCCCTCCTCTCAGATGACTATGGCTTGTGTCAAGCTGACATAAAACCAACCAGCACAATGGGTTGCCTATTAGACAGATTGTTGCTTTTTTGCAACATGTATAACATCCATTCTGGTTTAGAAAGAGTCATGTTTTATCATGTACATCAAAGCAAACCAACACGCCTTATCCTGTCATCCCTTATATTCAGAGAAGTCTAGGAGAGAAGAAGTGTGATGCCTCGTGAAGGGATGGCAAAGGAAATCCCATCGTGCCATTGTGTCATTGAGACCACCAGAGGTGAAGACCCCAAAACATATGCACCATGACGTCTCTTCAAAGTGGAGGGAGGGTGCCAGAAATAGTCTTGTAAATGAGACGAAGTGGAGAGTGGATTTTGTTTATATAAAAGTACAGTAGTCTTTGCCGGGCTGTGGTGGTGCACGCCTCTAATCCCAGCCCAGTGCTTGGGAGGCAGAGGCAGAAGTAAATGGATCTCTGTGAGTTCAAGGCCAGCCTGGTCTACAAGAGCGAGTTTCAGGACAGTTGGGACGGTTACACAGAGAAACCCTTTCTCGAAATCCCCCCTCCCCCCACCAAAAAAAAAAAAAAAAGAAAAAGTGAGGTAGCCTTCTAAAGCTAATTAGTAATTGTCTCTCTCCCATTAAAGGGGTTCAAGACCTCTCCTTGAGAACATTTTACCTCTAACATAATTATAGATTTTTAAAATATCTGTTCCAAGCCGGGCAGTGGTAGCACACATCTTTAATCCCAGCACTTAGGCAGAGGCAGGAGGATCTCTGTGAGTTCAAGGCTAACCTGGTCTACAAGAGCTAGTTCCAAGACAGCTAGGACTTTTACACAGAGAAACCCTATCTCAAAAATAATAATATGTTCTAGAAATCTTTATTGGTGGCCTTCCAATGCAATCTATTCTTTCTAGTGTAGTGAGGAGCTACACAATTAAACAACTTGTTTTAGTCTTGAAGAAACAAAGTGCCCACCTTCTGAACATCTGCAAGAAGCAGCATGGCTCGTTATTGATAAGCAGGGCTTTGTTTCTCCTGACGGCATTAATCTGAGTCAACAACCCACTTGTGCCTTCCCTTTGTGCTTATATCATACCTAATTTGCCCATTCCTTCCCAGGGTTCTCTAAACAATTTCAAACTTAGCATCTTCCCACAGAAGAGCTTACCCAGAGCACAGTAAATGAATTTCTGTCTTGCTGTCTTACAGTCTTTCCTTGTGCACTGCTCAGAAAGCTGGGCGCTCCAAAGAATTTACCTCAGAAATACTTCAGTCATTCAGGCTCTAGCTACATGGCCTTTTTATTGGTACCTTTGCTGTCTCTATGCCTTTATCTTAAATAAAATGACATTTTTGCCAAATATATGCAACCCCCCGTAGGAAATAGGACTAGCTCCCCCATGAAACCCTGCTGCAGATTTCAGTGTTGGCATGGACGACCCCTACGCTCTGCCTACGTCCTTCTCTCTCTTCCTGGAGTCAACTGAAACCATACCGAAACGGGGCTAAGGGTGAACTCGGAAGACCTTTGGCAGTTCCCGCTCTAAATCAGACAGCAATTCCTAATGAAAGAATCGATACCAAGAAATGTCAGATGAGCTTTCTGCCCTGTCGGCCTACGGTAGTGTGGGTGGTCGGACATGCCATCAGTTACTCTCCTGTACGGTCTATGAAAACCTCAGCCCCTCCCCCTGCAAATGAGACTTTCCCTGCCTGAACTTTTTTCATAATCATTTTTTAAAAAGTGCATTGCCCTTAGTACATGAGGGGTTTTTTTTAAAGTATTTTTTTCCAGCTCAGAACCTGTCTTTACTCAAATTAGAATTCACTCTCTAACATCCCTTGAGCTATAGTGTGACTGACCAAGAGTTGTTCTTAAGTGAGTCCGTCCATTCTTACCACTAATCATTGACTGACGTTTGTTTCAACCAATGAAGCCTCTCGGCTTTTCTGTGATTAACTGCATCTGAAAATGATCGATTTTCTTGCCTTTTGTTGCCAGCTACCATACGTGCCTGCATACATGCTTGAGGCATAAGACTGAAGGTTATCAACCGTTCACTAACCAGCCATGAAGTCTTATCTTCTCTTTCCCTGGAGAGGGAAGCACAGCTTGTGACTTCTCTGCAGTCCCAGGGCCTGTGTGGTGGGCCGTGTGGTGGGCCGTGTGGTGTGCCGTGCGGTGTGCTGTGGATCCGGATCGATACCCGCCCATGCTCCCCTCTCTCATGCCGCTAATTTCTATGCCACATCCTTTAGGGGGAGGAAGCCAAAACCATCCCTGGCAAATCCGTCACGGAAGAACAATTTACTGATGAAGAAGGCAACCTCATCACCAGAAAAGTAATCGCCATTGAGATTTCATGCTTCCGGAGAGTTTAAATGCCCTGCATGAGAAACAACCCTTGTATGCGATAGGTTTATAGCGCCCCCTCGTGACCACAGAATAGTCCCTACTTCTCTCTGTTGCTTCCAACAGATCACTCGGAAAGTACTAAGACGGATTGGCCCACAAGAGAGAAAGCAGGATGAAGTGGTAATGTAGCGTGGCTGCCAAGGAGAAAAGTAGAGGGTAGCATCTCTGTGAGCTCCCTGGGAAGCCTTGCTAACAGAGTGGCTGCTGCAGTGTGGAATCTTGGAGTGTTGTGCTGGCTTCTTCTGACGCAGGCTTTGTACGGGGATCCAACCCCTTTTCTTCATACAACGTCTGAATGTTACATACTTACTGCTGTCAGAATGACCACAGAGATAAGTGCATTTATTAGGGATAATGTTCCATTTGGAAAGAGAAAGTTCCATTTGGAAAGAGAAAGAGAAGGTAGCATTCCTGGCCATCAACAGCCCCCTTGAGAGGGTCCGTCCACCTTTGGCCTTGAGTTGGGTGCCTGTCTAGGAAACTGAGGGAGGACACTGTTTGTTAGGGTAACAGAGTCTGGCTCACAATTTTCACATCAGGTCTATGTGGTTGTCCTGGCCACCACATTCTGTACAAAATAAAAAAACTCCACTGTTACATCATGCTTTATGCTGCCCCACGTCCAATGTGCTAATACAGAAGCCTACTTGCAACTCTGAGTATGGCTCACCCAATGAACCCTGTCCTACCAAAGAAGACATCTTGCTATTATGCTTTGATGTTTCCCAAATCTTTATCACATTTAAAGGCAGAAAGTTAAGTGTTATGTATTATGTTTGCATAAGAAAAAAGCAAGCTGAAAAGGACTGAGGATCAGGTGAGGAAGGAAGAACCCCCTGCCCCCCACCCCGGGGCCTCCTGTTAAAGGAAAAACTAAATGTACCTCACTCTCCAAGAAGTACGCCCCTGACAGTCGGGAAAGACAGCCCCAACCTGTAGAAATCCATGCTGTCTTGGCCCAAGAAGGAGAGGACAGCGTTGGTAGTCACATAAACTAAAGAGAAGCAGTCAGACCACCCATGGCATTCAGTTCCGGCTTGGTGCTTATTTGAGAAGTCCCCGTCGTCGTACTCCAACAGACTGGTTATGGTTTTGCTGGCTGATAAAAATCATGATCGTAACAACTGGGGTTCGGGTGTCTTGTGCGTGTCAATGACTTCTTCCACTGTATGTGGGAAGCGGGCCGGTTGCTCTATGAAATCATTAACCCCCTGTGCTACCAAGTCTCCTTGTGCTGTAGCGTGACCTTGAAAGTGTTGTTGCATGCTGTGGCCGTGGCGAGCTGGCCTGTGCAGTCAAGCCAAGCAGATCCACTTGTCTAAGGATGCCGAGTGGTCTAGGACTCTTACCACTTCTCCTTCCTCACGCAGCCTCCAGGGACCAGCGTGTGAACTGCTTCCAGTCTCCACCGCAAACATGTAATGTGTGCTCTCCTTTAGCAGGGAGAAGGCTATAAACTGAAGACGAAGAAAGAAATTCGGAACGTGGAAAAAAAGACCCACTAGGGACAGTGACGTCGCTCCAGGTGGGAAATGGCCTTTTGTCAACAGTGAACCTTTAAAGTCTCGAGAACGTTCTAGATTCTCTAAATAAATAGGCGATTCGCATCTTTCATTTCTCTGATTTCCCTGGGACAAACTCCGAACTGGTCCCTGTTCTTTTTCTGTATATGAGTACAAATGTCGATGTGTGTGTTTATATCTACATGTTTCTACACATGTATATGTACATATACACATATGCACATTAAACCTTGACTCCAGTTGGGTTTATAAAAATTCCCCATGTGTAATGCATCTGCAGAAGCGGATGTTGTTAGGATTTGAGTCTCCTACCCTCTTACCACGAGGCTTCCATGGCAGGCAGCAGCCATATCCAATGGGAAGATTGCCAGACCAACCACAGTTCCAGCGGACTGTGCTCAAAACTAGCAGTGCTGGTTAAAATACGGCTGTCACCAAGTCTAGGTTAAATCAATAGAATCTGGTACACAAACGTTTATTTTATGTAAGCCTAGACACAAGAGGTTGATTATATGGGCTTTTTAGAATTTAAATATTTAGTAAGTGAGCTGTACTTACATTTGTTTGGACTTTGCCCCTATTCCCCTTAGCATTATTTTTTTCTGGATTTCACATTGTTCTTTCTCAATACACATTCAATCAGAAAGCTAATTTAAGGTGAGAGGACAGTTTGGGAAAGTTACGTCCTCGGGGTCACTCCTCTCCTTTTAGCCCCTGGGTCAAAGTTACAAAGAATGGGTCTAGTCTCATTGTCTTATCTGTCTCCCCCTGCCAACAATGAACCCTGACATTTGAGTGTAGAAAACCTCATTTTAGGTACCTAAGGCTCGGATAGAAGTTTATTTTTGAGATGGGGTCTCTTGGAGCCTAGGCTGGCCTTGCACTTCCTATGTAGCTGAGAATGACCCTGAACTCCCAATCCTCCTGCCTTCTCCTCCTGATTGCTAGGATTCCAGGCCAGGAGCATGCCACACCACATATAATTTATATAGTATTTAGGATCAACAGGGCTTCATGGGTGTTAGGGAAGTATTTTACATCTGAGCAACATCTCCACCCTCCCAGGGAGATTCTTAATTCTGCCTGACAAACACCCTTTCAGTATCTGCTCTACGGTGTCTTTCCTTTGCCTTCTGTGAGGCAGTCAGCGAACTCGGAAATCCCATAATGCCTGCTGCCCTAGACTCACATTGTGGACTCTGGGCGGGAGCCAGTCCTCATGTTGTGGCCACTGACGAGATTGAAAAAGAAAGAACCACAGATGTTCTGGATACTGGATTCTATGTGTGTTTCATTATGGCTCTTTAGTTCTCACAGCCTCCCCTCTTGGATCAGTGCCATTAGCATTGCTGTAACATAAGGGACGGGCAGAACTAGGAAATAAACCCTAACACGCTACCTCCAGAATGCTCATTCTTGGGGCTCGCAGTAGACCTGACCTGGCAGTGATGGGAGGGTCCCCAAAGATGAAAGTAAGCTGAGTTTCAATGACTCGAGTTACTCATCTGTGGGGATTCTGGTCTTTACCCTACAGCCAAAAGGAAAAGATTAGCTGTGCGGGGTAGCAAGCAGCTCTACCACTGAGCCTGACACAGCCCATGGCCTCTGGAGAGCTCTTACTTTGTAGTCCAGGCTAGCCTAAACCTTGCAACAATATAGCCTTAACCGCTAAGTACTAGGGTCCCTGGCTCAGTGGTAGAGTACTTCCCCAGCACACATAGGCTCTGTCTGGGTTCGATCCCCAGCAGCCCACACACATACTCATGTACCCTCATGCACCCTTTCTTGAAAACTGGGAAGTGCATGCAGGTAGCCCTAACTTTTTTAAAAGATTTTTATTTACTTATTGTTTATATAGTGTTCTGCCTTCATGTATGTCTGCAGGCCAGAAGAGGGCACCAGACCTCTTTACAGATGGTTGTGAGCCACCATGTGGTTGCTGGGAATTGAACTCAGGACCTTTGGAAGAGCAGGCAATGCTCTTAACCTCTGAGCCATCTCTCCAGCCCAAACCCTAGCTCGTTCACTCTTTATCAGCTGGGGCAGGACTAACATTAGGGGACACGGTGGCTATCAGTGATTTCCAATGGCAGTCGTTCTGGGCTTGGGAGATATCCGTGTGGCCATTGGTGGTACAGCGGAGACAGTAGATGGGGGTGCTAAGTAGTTAACCAACTCTATGAGTTTGGTCAAGTTACCCAACTTGTGTGTTGTCCTTTCCTTATTGGAATAGGGAAGAGGCTTGGAATGAAGCCTGGGTGGGTTCCCCCCTCCCCATCAATAGAAGGATACTATTGACACATCGCGAAGTTACAATACCCCCCTGTAAAGAATAATATTAACACATCACAAAGTTGTTTTAGAATTCAGTCAGTTCATATGTGTAAACTGCCTAATAGCAGTGACTGCTGAGCCCCTAGGACCCTCAATTAGGAGGCACCATTATATAAGTATTAGAGGAAGCAAAAAGGAAGTAAATATCAGCTTGCCACGCCAGGCATAATGGTGGCAGTCGGGAGAAGTCACAGCAGCCGAGCCACCAGCCCCTTTCTAAAGTGAAGGTGCTTTACTAGATTTACTGTCAGTGCTTCTCATAGTAAACTGAGGCAGGAGAAGGCAAAGCTGATGTGAAGACCACGCCCCCTCCCCTCCACAGACAGGAGTTCATGCCACTCAGGCCCCCGTCCCAGGACATTTTCCCAGAATGCATCGAAGGTACAGATAGCTCTCTGTTTTCCTGATATGTGATGGAGACAGGATTGAAGCCAGGAAAGTGTGGCTTTTGGCCCTTGCTAAAACTCTTGCCATTTTAATTACCTGTGCAGTAGGGGACATAATACTGCCCTGTTATTAGGACTGATGTAATTCACTTCAAAACAGTGCCAGAGAGGTAATAAACACATAATAAAAATGAAAGAAATGCATTTTCTTTCTCTTTAAAAAATATGCATCTGTCTGTTCTCAGTATGTTTACTTTTGCCTGCTGGCTCTGTAGCTTCAACTGTTTTTAACCTAAGTCACTGGGCAAGAACAAATTCAAAAAGGCCCCATTTATTGCTTAGTTGGAGAGGAAATCTGTTCTGAGCTGGGAGCTATTTTAAACTAAGTTTTCAGTCAAGTGTGCTGGTGCAGGTCAGTAATTCTAACACTTGGGAAAGAGAGGTAGGAAGACCAAGAGTTCAAGGCCAGCCTTGGCTACGTGAGACTCAGTCTCCAAAAAAAGGAAACTAAAAGAAAAGCAAACCTTAATTTTAGATTATGGTTTCCTATTGTAATGAAAACTATTGTACTTAAAAAAGAAACATGGGCCAGCAAGATGGCGCCATAAGAAAAGTGCTTGCCAACAAGCCTGATATAGTCGTTTGAAGTTGTAGTTGAGTGACCACCATAGGCTTATATGTGGATGCTTGGTTCTCAGTTGATACAACTGTTTGGGAAGGATCAGGAAGTACATTACTGGGGTGGGGTTTCAAAAACGCACACTATTCCCAGTTAGCGCTCGCTCGCTCGCTCGCGCGCGCTCTCTCTCTCTCTCTCTCTCTCTCTCTCTCTCTCCCTCCCTCCCTCCCTCTCTCTCCCTCTCTCTCATGCTTGTGGATCTAGATGTAAGCCCTCAGTCTATCTGAGAGCCTGCCTGCCTGTTGCCTTGTTCCCTGCCATGAAGGTCCTGAGGCTCACCCTCTGAAATTTGAAGCCCCCCAATAAACTCTTCTATAAATTACCTTGGTCACGGTGTCTTAGTGCAGCAATTGAGAAGTAACTTGAGACACCCGATGACCTGAGTTCAGTCCCCAGGACCCACATGACAGATGGACAGGACCAACTCCCACAAGCTGTCCTCTGACCTCCACACGTAAGCTGTGCCATGCACACATATATGCAAACATACGCTAAATTAAATCATAACACAAACTTTCAAAGGACTCAAAGGAAACATTCTTAGACATATGATAGAGAAGGGAAGTGGGGAGGACTGAGGAGCAGGGCAGATGGGGGAGGGATGAACGGAAGAACAGCAGAATTCTCTGTTGCACAGAGCAGGTTCCCTGGAATCTGGCAAGTGAGGTGACCTGCAAAGGTGGATCCCCAGGGTCTGCCCTTTCTAGGGACAGGATTTAAAGGGCACTTGAAGAATAGGGAGGAATTCCATATGTGTTGATTAGAGAAGAAACGTCTAAGTATATTGACACTCGGGAGCAACAGAAGATAATTTGGAATGCTCTGCGTAGCCAATAGGCCACACTGCATTCCCAAAGTAGGCCTAGGGGCAAAGAGTGGTACCAACAGCACCTTAGGTCTTAGAAACTAATGTTTAGGCTTATACTTATCTACAAAACTAGAAGCCTTGTGTGCAGGTCATCCCAGCTGGCCATGCACACATTAAACCTCAGGAAGCATGCCTCCAGCCCATCGAACACTGGAACCAACAGACTAGTCGGAATGGGGTGGTGGTGGTTGTTTTCAACGCTGGCCCATGTGGCTGTGGTCTGAACTTCGGGACTTATTAAATCCTACTGTGCAGCCCAGTTTGAGAACCAGGAAAGAATGTGACTTCAGTAGAGGATTTGGGAATTAAGTTCCCAGTTGTGCACTGGGCTGGACTGCTGCTGAAGGCTTCAGGTATGGAAGGGAAAAAAAAAAAAAAACTGAGTATTTCCCGAGGCCTCTAAAGGGGCTCTCAGTTCTGTACCCGAACCACCTATACTGGACCTGGAGCTGTGATCTCTTAAGTTATCAGTTAAAATGTTTCTTAATGTGAAAATAAATTAGTGTAATAGTGTGGACATGGCTGTGAATTTCTTCCACCCTCACATACGAAAGGATATACCAAGCTCATAGAAATGTCACTCCTTCGAATGAGTCTTAAGTCCCTTCCGTTTATTACCTACACTCAGGCGGGGGAGCTGATTCCCGATTCCCTTTCTGCAGTGTCATCAGCGATGTGCTCACAATATCCCATCCACCAGAGGGCGCTCTCATCACACTTCCTCTTCTAGCAGTTGCTTAGCCAAGGTCCTTCTCCTCTTTACCCTACGCTGTTCTTGGTATAAAGTGTTTATATGAAATGTTATCCATCCATTAGCATTCCTAACCCATGGGGTCGGAGCCCACATTCTGGCTGCCTAAGAAGAAAGATTTAGAGGATCTCAGTACTGCTTTTAAAAAAATAGCCACATTATAGGAGGACATTTAATTATCTAGACAGACAAATGTTGGCTTCTATTGAGAAGACAAAGCCTTTGCTTTGTGATGCAAAATTAACGGGGGGGAAGTTAGGCTAGTTATTAGAAAATGTAGACCAACCGATGGGAGGGAGTTCAGGTTTTTAGTGGTCTCACGTGTATAGACACTTACTAGAGTATTAAACTCCACATCATAGAAGAAGTGTGGTATGTTAAAAATTTACATACCAAGGAAGCTGGGAGACACAAGGGAAAGTTTAGAGAATAGAGCTGGGAACGAAGAGGGGTGGCATGACCACAGAGCCCCGTAAGCAGCCTGGTGCCTGGAAGATTAGGATTTAATGACAGAAACCAAGGTGTGAAAATCCTGCCGGACAGGGTTTCCCCACCCTCCGTAACTGGATCTACCCAAGTGAGTCATTTTCCTTCCCTGGAGGAGGGCGAGTGTGGAAACCTCAGAGGAGTGGGTCCTCGGGTGTTCTTGGCTCCCCTCACCAGTGACCTGGGGGAGGGAGGTCAGCAGCAAACACACATGAAAAAGGCAGCCAGACCCATAAACGGAAGACAGGAAGAGCTAGCTGTTCCGGGTGTTTACATAGGGCAGGATGTCATGGGTGATCCACCCGAAGAGAAACCTGTCTGGATAAACAAGCTCAAGGTCACCAGGACACCCTCTGTCCCCTGCAGAAGTCAGATTCTAAAGGCTCTCCAGAAGCTGCAGAGGAGAGTTGGCTGTTTGGGAGTCAACAAGTTTTTTTTTTTTCTTTTTCTTACAATCAATCCTTCCTGCTTCACACTGGAATTCCATCCAGTCTGTCAGCTTCTTCCCCTTGACTTCTGAGCGGTTCCTGAGATACCCCAAGTCAGTGGTTCTCAACCTTCCTAATGCTGCGACCCTTTAATACGGTTCCTCATGTTGTGGTGACCCCCACCACCAACAACTATTTCACTGTTACTTCATAACTATATATTTTGCTACTGTTATGAACGGTAATGTAATTCTGCTATGTGACCCACAATTTGAGAACCAAAGATCTAGTGCCTGGTCCACTGAGGTATTTTCCAGGCAGCCTAAACACCCTAGTGAGGAGAACTAGACCCTTATTCTCTGAACCCTTTATGATGAACAACAAAGAAGCCATAGATAAATTCTCCTTTGTCTATAAAATGAGTGAGGGATATGTCTCAGTTGGTTAAAAGTGCCTACCGTGCAGGAAGCCCAGATTTCAAGACCCCACACCACACAACCTAGGTACTGTGACTGGGGCAGAATGATCAGGAGTTCAGAGGCATCCTAGGTCGCAAGTTCAAGGCCAACCTAGACTTACATGAGACCCTGTCTCAAAAGAGAAAGAAACCTAAACTCACCACCCTACTGTGTCTCTCTCCTCAGGACCACGTGTTCATACTGCCCAGTATTGAGAAATCTACCAGAGAGCAGCCGGAAGGACAATATTTACCAAGAAGAGTGTGTGGGTCTGCCGCCGCCACACACCAGTGACCTGAGTTTTTCTTTAACGCAAAAGGAAAAATAAGAAAAAGAAAATAACTCACATTTTTTTTAATTTAGCATGAGCCAATTTACAGAGCATGGAAACTCACTCCCACTCCTAGGATCGACACACGTGCACCGAGCAATGCAGTCTAAGGTACAAGAAGCCATGTTGTTCAGACTTGATCTCAAGTAACTTGGTGTCATATTTCAAAGAAAAAATAATAATAAAAGAAGGAAAGAGAAGAAAACTGTGCGCCGGGAGGGACAGAAGAGGGAAGGATCAACTCAAGAAGAAACTCTACAGTTACTAAATCCACAACAGCTCGCCTTATTTTTCTTGGACCCAAACTGTCAGGGTATAAACACTGTTTGTTTCTTTTTTTAAAGAAAAAAAAATTAAAAAAAAAATCAATAGTTTTGCTGTAAATAATAACACTGTAAATTCTAACAACAACAAAAATAGAATAAATGGTGATAGGCACCTGCCTCCTAGAACACAGACAAGATAGCCCAGCCGCATCTAACCGTGGGAGTTCCAAGTGACTTCACCCTGGACACTGAGGAGCTTCTGGGCTGTGCGGGGGACTCTTCGCTGATTCTTGTATATTAGCAATGATAATGTTTGTACACGCAAAACTGCTAGCTTGATTTTAAAAAGAAAATGCAAATCTTTAACAAAAAAAAAACCTGCTGCAAATTTAAATAATTCCCCAAATGAGGAATTCTGTAGGTCTGTGAAAAAAAATTTTTTTTCTTCAGAATACTAATATTTTGATGCATGCATATCACCTTATTTTGATTAAACCTTTTCCAATTTTGCAAACACTACAGTCTCCTGCAACACAGGAGATTTTATCTGTAAACACAAAGCCCTTCACCTAATATTTGTTGCTATTGCCAACTTTTTCAATGAAATGACCAAAAATGGAAAAAAAAAATCCCACAAAACTATACAGTAGTTGCTTGGGGGTGGGATGGGGGAGGGCCGTTAGTGCTTACAGGGGGAAATGGCTTGCCACTGTACAGGTGGATGGTGCTCACAAGAGGCCCCGGTCATGGGTATTTAAAAATGGACTGACCAGAAACCCGTATCTAGGAGAATGGCAGCACACTGTAAAAAAAAATAGAAAAGAAAAAAAAATCACTGTTCTTGTGTACTGGCTCTGAGATGTAGACCCCTTCCAGTAAGCCGATCACTTGTAACCACCGTAGCAGTGCCGTAGGTTAGTAAGGCTGCGTCTTATAGAGCATCTTCCTCTGGGTTTCAGTGAGGTTCCTTCATCCACTACCTTCACTTGAAATCGGCCCCCATGGACACCTAGCTCTAGATGACATGTATGGGAGAAGCAGACGCTGGATAACCTAGTCAATTATTTAAGCATAAAAATAAATTGTGTTCAACTCTTCACCTACCCGGGCTCTACAGTGTCCTTGTGTCCTCTGGCAAAGCGCAACTGTCTAACCCCTGAGTCCCAGGGGGTCCCGTCTGTGCCTCTGGTCACTAAAGCCATAGTCTGGAACACACCACCCTCTCCCGAAAACACTGACCTTTGCGTAAACCCCACGCAGCGTAAACTCGTGTGCATTTTGTGGGGGAGTCAAGAATTTAAAATGAAGTCATCTCTGTTTGCATCTATCTAGGCTTCCCCTCCCCACAAAAGAAATTGGCGTCTGTACAGCCACTGTGTCAAGAAGTTGATTGTTGCTCCCAGGAAGCCTCCACCTGCAGTGGCTTTTAGCCCATTAAGCATTTAATTTAGATTTCGGTTTTGTTTTGTTTTTGTCATTGGTTTTTGGCGTTTTTTGGTGATTTGGGTTTTTGTTGTTGTATTTAAGATAAGATCTCAAATGTTTGTTTAGTTTAAGTGGCATTTGTTGTCAGAGCTCACAATTTGAGAAATTTTACTAGTAACTCGGGATTTTTACTTTTTTTTTTGTATGGGACATTGACCCTTGACCCTAAGGCTTCATGCATGCTAACCAAGTGAACTACTACTGGGCTGTACCCTCTGCCTTCTTTTGAGACAGGGTCTTCTTAACTTGTCCAAGCTGGCCTTGACCTTGCAAGCCTTCTGCCTTGTCAACTTACAGGCCTGTGCCACTAGACTGGACATGACTCTTGAGAAGCCACATTTGGCAGAAGTGGACCTCTATTCCAAAAGACGCCGAAGCCATGACCCACGTGCTCTCCAGCCAGATATGTGGTGGTCCCCAATGTACCAGCCTCATTTCTTACCTTAGCCTGATAGGCACTTGGAATTTGGGGTTCACTAACTTCATGATTCTGAGTTCCCAGAGAAAGATGTCACGCCGTTCTGACTTTGACCCCAACCCATAGCCTGGCATGATACGGTAGGGGTGGTTATCTGTCACCATCCCTAAACTGCAAGTATGCACTACATCACTTCATTCTAAATACATTCCGCTCATTGACTCAGTCCGTACAGCCACTGTGTGAGTTAGGTACTATCTTTGATCATAGCAGGCCCCATTTAGAATTAAAGCAGTGCTTAATGTCATTCAAGGCTATCAGTGCCTGTCCGTTGAAGGTTGCTGCCAAGCAGGGTGATAGTCTCCGGAACAGATGTGATACCAGGCCAAAGACAGATATGGCGAGAGTCTATTGGCTCTAGAGAAAAGCCACTCTCAAACAAGGAAGCAGAGGGTGCATTTGCATATCATTCGCATGGCCTTCGTCCATCAGAATTATCTTGACGGACAAAGCTTCCACTCTGGAAAGGTTTTTAAAAATGTCCTCAAATCTCCAGGAAAACCATCATCGGAATGTAAGATTCCTAACCCGCCATTTAAGAGCTATGAATTCTTGCTCCTCCGGCCTTGCTAGAGAATATTCGCAGCTAGAAACTTCTTGCTAGGGAAGAAGGGGCCAGGGTACATGTTTGGAAATCTGACTGCAGAAACAGGTGAGGGCTTCAGATGATGCCAAAGCCATGACTCGACTCAGAAGTCTCTGCACTATGATCGATTTTACTCGCATCTCTAACTTATTATATACATGCACTGAATAGGACGTATGTTTGTATTTCTAGTATATAGTCTGACCTGGCAGCTCATTCAAATGTATTTAGGTTTTTCTCTGACGATTCTGTAAAAAAAGAAAAGGGGGGAAATGAACTGTGACTGATAAAATCCTGAGATTTGCCAGTTTTATATATTTCTACCAAGTTCCTGAGCTTGTTAACCTGAAAGGTACTTACTAAGTGCACTACCGAGTGATGGGTTGCTTCTAGAAGGGACTCTCTTCACTGGCCTCTCAAGCAGCAGCTGTCTTCCTCACACTGGCACCCCAACATCCCACCATGTTCTTCTTAGCATTCCCCTTGGGGATGGTACAATGGAAGTTTCTCTCCACGGTAAATAAACAGCAAAGGAAAAAAGTGGTTTGTTTGCCTTTATCCAAAACACCAGCTTACGTTTGATGGTGGCGAAGCCCAGACGGAAGGCACAGGAGGACCCACCGCTGACTGCCTCGTCCAGGTGGTTCTTTGTATTTGTTTTGTTGGCCTGCCCCTGGCATATTAAAAGGTGTATCATTTCCTAACCCTGTGGCATTCCCTCTCTGACATGAACAATGATTAAATCATTGTGAAGTCAACATTTTCAGGGGTGGTATCTGAGGCATTTTTTTTAAAGCCCTTTTAATAAGAGACAAAGGGCTTGGTGTCTTTGCTTTCATTTGGTTTCCTGTTTCCTAAAGCAAAAATTACAGAGTGGATCTTGACAAGCACCCTTGGTAATGGGCCAAACAGCTTTTCATTCATTCAAAGGCAGGGTCTCGTGTAGCCCCAGTTGGCCTCGAACTTTCTGTGTAGCCAAAAGTGGTTTTGAACTTCTGAGCCACTACCTCCCGAATGCTGAAATTACAGGTATATATACCACTCTGCCCCCAGTTTATGTGGGTAGAACTCAAGGCTTCATACATGTTAAGCAAGCACTCCACCAAGCTATATCCCCAGCATGCTTTTACTTATTTAATAGACTCAAAGGCTATGGATCAAGGGAGAAACATACATGACATCAGCATTCCTTACAGCTGTGTGACATGAGATGCACACCGGATCTTCTGTCCCCTGTGCCTCCCAGGTCAGCACTACAAACCACTCTGTAGGACCTCCAGAGAGACCTCACCTGTTCTAGCAGAGTTCCACGGCAGAGCTGGGGTGGACATGTTCATAGGATCTTGAGGTTAATGAGATGCAGGGACCATGAGGTATACACTAGGAGCAGGAATAGCTGGAACCATTTCTCTGGGCCCAGCAGGGAATTTCAGGGAGAAGAAGAAAAAACACCTTCCTGCTTCATTTGCTCCCAATACCTTCAAAAGGGCACTTTGCTGTTCTATTACTCAAACTGCACAACACTGAGAACTGGATGCCACACTGACAACTTGACCTTTCACAAGACTTCCGTGTGATGTTCACCACAAGGTCCTCAGATGAAACCATGTGGTCCTTCAGGTCCTGTACCCACCCATAACTGTACCCATCTACACCTTCACTAAAGTGAGAGTCCCTTCAGCAGCTGTGGTTCCAATCCTGACCTTCATCGCTCATCACTGAGAAAACAAAGCTGGGAAGTGGAGCCTGCATCCTGAACCCTGCAACCCTCTGGCTGCCTCATGATGTGCCTAAGTGTTTTTGCTGGGTTGCTAAGCAACCAAGGGTCCAGAAATTACACCCAGGACTTCTTTGGACCACTTCCAGCACGCAGAGGTATTTGGACTACATGAAGTTTGAACTGAAGAGAAACATTTGGAAGGGGAGGGGGAAGCAAGTGCTTTTAAGTAAAAGTTTAGTGTGAATTCTCTTTAACATCTGAAGATGTGACCATGCCATTTCTGGAACTCTCTCCAGCAGCAATTGCCAGCCGCACAGGATGAGCTTGGCTTATCCATCACAACATCTCCACCTCCTTTATCCCTGTCTCCTCTGAAACCCAACTGATTCTATGCATTTCCATTCCCCATCTTCAATTACTGTAGATGAACAGAGGGCGGTAAATTGATGTGCTGTCCTGCCTAGAATCCTTAAATCCCTCCTTTTGGGCAAACTCAGCTTCTTCTTCACTATTATCCTCTGATGAAATAAAGGCGTGAGTCAATGGGAAAAGAAAGGCCCGCCATTTGCTCATCTACCCCCACATTGGGTGTCCGTCATTTTTCAGTCGCCCACCTGAGCATGAGAAGCATCAGGTCCCTTCCCTCAACCTTCAAGGGGGAGAGGACAGAAACGCCATGATGGATAAACCCTGGAAAACACAGAACCGTAGCTTCAGCAGCTCAGTCCGCCTGGCGCATGCTGGGAAAAGGGGACCCTGTGGTGAGGTGGGGCGTGGCGCTATAACCTTTGAACTTAGCCGCTGCTTTTTGGAACCACACTCACTAACCAAAATGAAGTGTAATTGGAAAAGACCTAGAAAGGGCATTTCTACCGAAACTTTACAACATGTCTTAAAGTTATTTAACTCGCCCCCAGACTTTTTTCCCGGGACACTCCATCTAAGTGCAAAAACACTGAAACTCACCACAATGTTTTTCTCCCATCAAGACCCACAGAATCTTAACCTCACTCCAAAACCTCTGCTGCCAATGCTTACCCAGAATGGAATCTTGGGTATACCAAATGAACACTCCAACAGACTACACCCTTGACAGTTTTTCTAGTAGCTTCCTTATTCCTCATGAGTTATGAGGTGACTGTAAGAATGACTCAGTGATTTAGAGCACTGGCTGCTCTTCTAGAGGATCTGGGTTCAATTTCCCAGCATCTACATGAGGCAGCCCACAACCATCTTTAACTTCTACTCTGTGCTGGGGGAATCCATCGCCCTCATCTGGCCTCCAGTGGTACTGCATGCACACAGTGCACAGACACATGAATGCAGAACAACTATAAATAAATAAAGGGAAAAAACTTTTTTAAAAAGAACAAGGAGGACCATACCACCCACAGCACAGTGCACATCCGGGATCACTGAGTATGTGCAATCAGTGTTCGACTTCACACACCTAGATAAGCTTGGTTTCCCTGGTAGGTCTATCTCAGGGCTACAGTTCACGCCTGACAATTCAAACTTGTGCAGAGATTCCCCGTAGGTTGTCAGAGCTTAGATCAGTGAAGGGAAAAGCTACAGACATCATAGTTTGGTTTGGTCATCTCTACTCTTGTCATGCCTTTTCCAGATATAGCTTGAAGGAAGAAGTACAAAGGAAAAGGCTAGGAGGGTGCTGGGAGATGACTCGGTGGGTGAAATGCTTGCTGCACATAGGTGAGGAGCTGAATTTGGAACTCCAAAATTAATGCGTTGAACAGTCAGGCATAATTGCACACCTGTGACCCTAGTACTAAGAGCTGGGGCTGGGCTAGAGTGGACAGGTCGAGATCCTACTAGA